ATTTTTTTTTTTTGATTGGTTTATGTAATTAGACTTTTTTTTTCGCTTTCTGTTCCTTCCAATCAACACACAGTTCATCGAACAATTTTTGCGAAATATTCTCGCTGCATATTGTCAGATTGCTTGCAGGACCTGGGTGTTCGTGACAGCATCGATTACCAGATGTTGCTGTATGGGCGAAGCAAAGAACTGCGTAATGTTCTTATTGGCCTTATCGAAAAATTGCCAAAAGATTCTCCGATTATCGCTTCTGTGGAAGGTTTGTCGTTTCAAATTCGTTTTGTGAACTTGCCTGGTTTTCAGACTTCTTAAGTTGGCCAGTTATGTAGAGGTAGAAGTGTTGCCTCAGTGGATTGTCTGTCTGGTTGCGTCACAGATGGGCATATCTTTGAATTTTTCAACAGTATAAGATTTCTTCAGCATATTTAATTGTGCGTCTTATAGAATGCATATATTTCCCATACCTTTGTCATGTATTTGTAGTCAGTTAAACGAAGGATGGGTGCCTCATAAGGGAGATTGTACGTAGAAATTGTTTGCATTTCATATACTGGGAGCCTGTATTTTGCATGGGGAAAGCCTTGCCTATTTCTACACTCATTGTACACATGCGTAATGCGTGGTGAAAATACGTTCCTGCTTCTCGTTTGAACAGTCTAAAAAGGTCCGATTGTTACTGTAGTTTTTTTTTTTTTTTGTGAAAACTACTCCTAGCTAGCTTTAAGAAATTTCGAAAATCGGGTTTTTCTGGAAAATTATATAGTGGAATTACAGATCCGTTCAATAACTTAGTACAAGAAGCTGCAGTTTGTGCCGTTAAAGCCGAAACAGGGTCATATGGGAAGAGATGTTGGCTGGAATCATTTCGAAAAACACCATGGGTAAGTGATGCAACATATTATACGAAGATGAGTGATGAAGGCTGTGGAAGCTGGAGGATGCGCGCAGTTGAGATGCGAATGGGGCAGCGGCTTTTTGGCATAATAGTTGGTGACATAAAAGTCTGTGCAGAACAGTGCGTATCTCTACGCTAAACCGGCTACTAATATGCCTTAATTTTGTGCCAGCTTCTGGCCTCTTTTTTTTGCTGATCGTGAAATAGGAATTAATAGGTATGAACTGGATGCTGTACTGCAGATTGTTG